CGGTGGCTGGGAGCGGCCACTGCACTCCAGTCTGGGCGACAGAGTGAGACTCCAACTCAAAAATAAATAAATTTTTTAAATTAATTAATTAATTAATTAAAAAAATAAATAAATAAGGGCATAGCATGATCTCATTCCCTGTGTTTAAAAAGTACTGAGTATATTCATTAAAAAGTGCCTGAAATAATTGGTATCAAAATATTTATAGTATTTCCCTCTGGTGGGTGATATATTTATGGAAAGGACAGAGGGGCATACAATGACACTTGAACTTACTTCCTATACTTCTGTATATATTTTTAAAAAATAATAGCAAGTTTTATTTTAGTTATAAAACTTAGAGAAAAAAAATATTTTACTTAAACATTAAACTTTTTTTCTTAAAACATGTGCTTTTACTACCCATTCCATAACTGGAATGTTTTCTATTTTTCAAAATTCCAAAGCAAAGTAACTGGTCTGCAAAGATTCCCATAGTTTAAGTCAAGTTAGCATAAGAATAATTCATTACTTTGAAAGAATCAAGTTTAGATGAATTATTAAGGAATATTTTCACTTATCTATGCCCCTATCTTTTTGTTTAAATCAATTTTTTTTGATTTATAATTTAATGCACATATTTTAAATTTATAGCTCAAAGAGTTCAACAAGTGCAAATGCTTACATAACTACTCCCTAATTTTAAAAGACTAAAATTAAAAAAAAAAATCAAATTGCTTGGAGAAGTTAGAATTTTTACCTTCCTTCCAGACCTATGCTCTTTAGTATGCAGTTTAAAGTTCAGGAATACTGTTTACAGATTAAGAAGCATACAGGGAATATTTTTCTTAACTAAGTTAAGAAGTGCAGTGGCACACTCACGGCCATCCCAGAGTTGACCTGCTGGGCTCTGGTGATCCTTCCACCTCAGTCTTCCAAGTAGCCAGAACTACAGGTGTGTGTTACCATACCCTGCTAATTTTTTATTTAATGTAGAGATGAGGTCTCCCCAAGTTGTCCAGGGTGGTCTCGAACCCATGGGTTCAGGCAATCCACTATCTCAAATCAACCTCTCAAAGTGCTGGGATTATAGGCTGAGCCACTAAGCATGGCCTAATACAGGTTAAAGGCTGGAGACACGAGGAACTAAAATTATATTAATTTTCTTCATAAACAAATCCTGTTGATGAGTATAATACTTTAATTTATAGTATTTATAAATCAAATGAGTATAATACTTTGATTTATAGTTAATATTACTTCCACAAATCTTGACATGAAGAAAGAATCCTCTCCAATTTTCTCCCAATCTTAAGAAAGAAAGTCTAGTATGGCTTAATGCTTGTTGGAAGGGTTCAGAAAACAAACACTTGCCAGTTGTTCTCTTAAGAAAGTTAATTGATTTGTCTAATCTCAATTTTCTTTTCTGTGAAAGGTAAAAAATACATGCAAAATAGGAGAATCCAGTATGGTTTGCATAATTGCCTGTTAGAGATTTTAAATTCTTTCAAGATAAGTCATGCAAATTAAATGAAATTGAAAGGACAAAAAAATGGAGTCAGTATGACCAAAGAACAGCCATTTTAACAGTGCTTAATTTTGTCATGTTTTTCCAGCAGTTCACTTCAATTTACCCTCTAATCACTATCCAAGGACTGAACCAGTTTCTCAGAATTAGCTATTGATAATTGTTTTACAACTCCCTCCCCAGGTTGTTTTGTATTAATTAGCTTTTCTATTCCAAATATTTGCCCCTAACCATAAGAAACCAAATTAACTTAATCAGTCCTTGACCTTCTAGACAGATCCCATCACCGTGGCATCATGTGACTAGCCCACCCATCTGCCTGTTGTCCAGTACTTCAGTACTTGTGCTTACCTGTTCCCAATCACCTTAAGGACCTACCCCATCAAAGGGAAGGTTTAAAAGGCATTCAACCTCAAAGAGCAGGGGTCATTGCTTTTGCTAAACTCTGGTCATGTCATGTGTTCATTGAGTTATGACTGCCATGTTTTTGCTTCCCTAACCTTTGGCCCCCTCCCCTACCTTGGGGCGGTGAGTCCTTTCTCTTTCTCTCTCTTGAATCTACTTTCTAAATAAGTATTTTCCAATCTAACTTCTGTGCAATTCTTTGCATCTTTTGCGTGGCACCAGATGACAGACCTCTCCCCCAGCTCGACCTTAGAGAAATAACGCACATGAAGCATATAGTATAGTATACTATTTGCCATATACAAAGTTTTTATTAGATTACTTATTAATTGCTTATTGAAGCGCCAGGAAATGTGGACTAGTGGACTAGTCATAAAATGTCATTATAGACAAAATGCGGCTGTAACCTGGATTCGAATTCAGAAATAAAACTCTTTCTACCGGTTCCCTGCCTCCTTGATTTATAGGTATCAAGGGAGAGCAGTGGAGCATTACTTGGACGGTAACAATCATACAAACCTCGAAGAGTTCCAGTGATGGTTAAATGAGATAATGTTATGGAAGAAACAGGATTGAGATAAAAAGTAAATGAGATAATAATGTATAGAAGAGCTTCATTCATAAGAAGTGCTCAATGAATATTGGCCATTATTATTTTGCTGTTCTTGGTTAGATTCAACAATAGGAACATCAGGAAGTATATAATAAATTTAGAATTTTGTTAGGAAGAATTTAGAAACTCCTTCCTTTCCTGCCCTAGGTCATCAAGAATGGTCTTGGCTCATTGCTGACAAATTAATTTTCATGCATTTTTCCACTTTGCTCAGAAATGCATCAAAGTACCAAAGTCTCTACAATTTAGCCTATCTTTCTCTATTCTCATTCTGCTCTCTTCCTTTCCCAAAGCAAAGTATTTGCTATTCCTTGAATATGCTCTGGGTGTTGGCATGTCTACCCTGCTGGCCCCCAGCCCCTAATGTCTCACCGTCTCAAAGCCCATCTGTACCTCACCTTTCAGTTAAATGCAATGCTTCCATGAAGCACTCCTAGTCAATGCGTGGTCTGCCTCATGGATTATAAGAAGAGTTGATTTTACAAATCATGTCTTTATTCTCTCCCTCTAGATATTATTTTCATTATCATTAAAAATTTATAACAGATGTAGACTTAGATGTGGCTGATTCTCCCGGTTAATTCAACAGATTGATTTTGTATCTGTTATGTGGACAGTGGCTAAACACAGGTGGGAGACAAAAATGAAGTCTCGGCTTTCAAAAAGTTCCAAAATTATTCCTTTAAAAATCGTTTTGTGATGTAAATAGAGGATAATACTCTACGTGTTTATTAATAACAATGATAATGCTGGGCATGGTGGCTCACACCTGTAATCCCAGCACTTTGGGAGGCAGAGGCAAGAGGATTGCCTGAGTCTAGGGGTTCGAGACCAGCCCAGGCAACTTGGTGAGACCTCGTCGTTACAGTAAATCAAAAAAATTAGCCAGGCATGGTAGTGCGTGCCTGTGGTTCCAGTTACTTGGAAGGCTGAGACGGAAGGACTGCCTGAGCCCAGCAGGTCGAGGGTGTGGTGACCGTGAACATGTCACTGCACTCCAGCCTGGGCAACCGAGACTCCGACTAAAACAAAACAAAACAAAACAAAACACATATTCATTAAGAGAAAGAGCACAGGATCGATACTGATCCTCCCCACTACCCCAGATACCTTTTATTTTCTGCTTGATTTGACTCAGAGTTTCACTCGCTCCC